GTTTTTGGGCAAATAGATGAAGTGGCTCCTTAATCTGATTAATTTTATAGGTACTGTGCTCCGCTGTGTCTGATTGTGGATCTATGCTAGCAGTCGGCACGTCGACCAAAGTAGCTTTGATTCTGGATGCTACAAATTTGAAGTTGCGGAGGGCCTTTAGAATACCCAAGGCGCCCACCTCAGTATGTTTCAGTAGGGTAAGTGCAAGGTTCTGGTCTTTATTCCCAAATTTCGCACATCTTTACTTACAGGATAACGCACACGTAATTATCGGAGATCGAGCCGGCCATGTTTGCCGATATACAGTAGATGCTAATGAAAAATCAGGTTATATAGACATGAATGGTACGTTATATGATCGTTTTGCCAATTCCTTCCGCATCTGTTTCTGTTAGCCTTCAGGAGAAGAATGTGATTGTGAAGGTGAACCACTAACCAGTACGATTTCCATGGTTTTGGATGTTGCCATCACTAATGACGGTAGATTTTTGCTATCTGCTGATCGTGATGAGAAGATCCGTGTTTCGCGATATCCTCAAGTACGTTCATTGTTATATAGTTGTATGTATTGGAAATACGATCTTTAACTTCTCAGAAATCTTTTGTTAATCGAGTCTGAATTCGAGGATCTTTCCAAGTTCTAATGTTCATCTAGAGCCCATACCTAAAGTAACATTTTCGGTTTTCCTGATAACATATTCCTGGAGCCGCAGGGATAGTTTTCATTTTATTGGGGTCGCCTGTAGCTATCTGCCAGAGCAGCAAGAAAAGCAAAAAATTGATGGTACTTCACCGAACTTTATTGAAGTATTAGGTTTCGCTCAAATCGCATTCATTCTTCTTTTTCATTCAAGAATAGATCTTTCTCCGAATAAGGCTTTGCATATCCTTGTTCTTACTAGCCATAAATAATTATTTTATTACTCAACTGATGATTTTCTCGTCCGAGTTACGTTAACTCTATCACAGGCTTTCGTCGTGCAGTCATTCTGCCTTGGTCATGATGCCTATGTGAGCTCACTTGCTCAAAGTGGTACTCGCGTGTTTTCCTGTGGTAAGGAGTTCAGCGGAAGATTCTTGACAGTGTTTGGTATGTTTTTTTGCAGGTGGTGATGGTGTTGTACATGAATGGGATATACAAAATGGTCAATCAGTTGCTCACTCCGTCAAATTAGGCGATGAACCATCGCGAAAATTATGTATCCTACCCTTGGTGAGCAAAATTAGCGTTGTGTAGTCACATTTTGAACAGTTCTTAATCCAAAGTGCTTTAGGGTGAATCATTTGAGATTGTTACCGTTGGTGGATGT